ACCACTCCTTCTGAAACTATTCCAAACAATCCAAAAAGAGGGAATCCTTCCCAGATCATTTTATGAGACCAATATCATCCTGATACCAAAACCTGGCAGAGACTCAACAAGAAAATAAAATGTCAGGCCAATATCCGTGATGAACATTGATGCAAAAATCTTCGATAAAATACTGGCAAATCAATTGCAACAGCACATCTAAAAGCTTATCCACCATGATCAAATAGGCATCATCCCAGGGATGCAAGGCTGGTTCAATATACTAAAGTCTATAAATGTAATTCACCACATAAACAGAACCAAAGACAAAAACCCGATGATTAACTCAATAGATGCAGAGAAGGGCTTTGAAAAAATTCAACAGCCTTTTATGCTAAAAACTCTCAATAAACTAGGTATTGATGGAATGTACCTCAAAATAGTAACAGCTGTTTATGACAAACCCACAGCCAGTATCATACTGAATGAGCAAAAAATGGAAGCATTCACCTTGAAATTTGACACTAGACAAGGATGCCCTCTCTCACCCCTCCTATTCAATATAATATTTGAAGTTCTAGCCATAGTAATCAGGCAAGAAAAGGAAATAAAAGGCATTTAATTAGGAAAGGACGAACTCAAATTGTCTCTATTTGCAAATGACATGATTGTATATTTAGAAGACCCATCATCTCAGCCCAAAATATCCTGAAAGTGATAAGCAACTTCAGCAAAGTCTCAGGATACAAAATCAATGTGCAGAAATCACAAGCATTCCTATACACCTGTAACAGACTTAGAGCCAAATCAAGAATGAACTGCCATTCACAATTGCTACAAAGAGAATAAAATACCTAAGAATACAACTAACAAAGGATGTAAAGGACCTCCTCAAGGAGAACTACAAAACACTGCTCAACGAAATAAGAGAGAACACAAACAGACAGAAAAACATTACATGCTCATGGTTAGGAAGAATCAACATTGTGAAAATGGCCATACTGCCCAAAGTCATTTATAGATTCAATGCTATCCCCATCAAGCTACCTGTGACTCTCTTCACAGAACTGGAAAAAAACACTGTAAAGTTCATAAGGAACCAAAAGAGAGCCTGCAAAGCCAATTCAATCCTAAGCAAAAAGAACAAAGATTGAGGCATCATGCTACCTAACTTTAAACTATATTAAGAGGCTACAGTAACCAAAACAGCATGGCACTGGTACCAAAACAGAGATATAGAACAATGGAACAGAACAGAGGCCCTGGAAGTAATGACACACATCTACAATCATCTGATCTTTGACAAACCTGACAAATACAAGCAATGGGGAAAGGAGTCCCTATTTAATAAATGGTGATGGGAAAACTGGCTAGCCATGTGCAGAAAGCTGAAACTGCACACCTTCCTGACACCTTACACTAAACTTAACTCCAGATGGATTAAAGACTTAAATGTAAGACCTAACGCCATAAAAACCCTAGAAGAAAACCGAGGCAAAACCATTTAGGGCATAGGCATAGGCAAGGACTTCATGACTAAAACACCAAAAGCATTGGCAACAAAAGCCAAAATAGACAAATGGGACCTAATTAAACTACAGACTTCTTCACAGCAAAAGATACAATCATTAGAGTGAACCAGCAACAAACAGAATGGGAAAAAATGTTTGCAATCTACCCATCTGACAAAGGACTAATATCCAGAATCTACAAAGAACTAAAACAGATTTTCCAGAAACAAACAAACGAACAAACCCATTCAAAAGTGGGCAAAGGACATGAACAGACACCTTTCAAAAGAAGACATTTATGAGGCCAAACAAACATGAAAAAACGCTCATGATCACTGGTCATTAGAGAAATGCAAATCAAAACCACACTGAGATACAAACTCACACCAGTTAGAATGGCGATCATTAAAAAAATCTGAAAACAGCTGCTGGAGAGGATGTGGAGAAACAGGAATGCTTTTACACTGTTGGTGGGAGTGCAAATTAGTTCAACCATTGTGGAAGACAGTGTGGTGATTCCTCAAAGATCTAGAAATAGAAACTCCATTTGACCCAGCAATCCCATTACTGAGTATATATCCAAAGGATTATAAATTGTTATACTATAAAGACCCATGCACACGTATGTTCATTTTAGCACTGTTTACAATATAGCAAAGACCTGGAACCAACCCAAATGCCCATCAATGATAGACTGGACAAGGAAAATGTGGCACATGCACACCATGTAAAACTATGCAACCATAAAAAAATGATGAGTTTGTGTCCTTTGTAGGGACCTGGATGAATCTGGAAACCATCATTCTCAGCAAACTGACACAAGAACAGAAAATCAACCACCACATGTTCTCACTCATAGGCGGGTGTTGAACAATGAGAACACATGCATACAATGAGAACACATGGAGCATCACACACTGGGGTCTGTTGGGGGAGAATAGGGAAGGGATAACAAGGGTTAGGATGGTTGGGGAGGGATAATTTGGGGAGAAATGCCAGATACAGGTGATGGGGAGATGAAGGCAGCAAATCACATTGCCGTGTAGGTACCTATGCAACAATCCTGCATGTTCTGCACATGTACCCCAGAACCTGTATATATATAAGAATACTTGATGTTAAAAAAATTATATACTGGAAATCTGGTATGTTATTATTCAAAACGTTGATTATTATATGAAAGTGTTGTTTGCCACAGAAATCATCAAATTTCCTGATCAGTTGCATCGTTATTATATGAACTCTCATCAGACATTTAACTATGATAGTTTTAAGTTTTTGTTATTCATAGAGATATTATTTTACTTTGCTTTTTCTCCAGAACTGTTTGCAGTTAGCAGTAGTTCAAAATTGCTTTTTCATTTAGGAGAGTCATTAAAAAAGGCTTTTGCAAGTACTCTGGATTACAGATTTCTAACAAGTTTAAGATAATACTTTTGGACGAGAAAAAGATTTCTCAGAATCTAATTGAACTGATGACTTTGTGAAACTGCTATCCTAAGATCAAGAACAAGAAGAATTAATCACATGAGACTGAGTAAACTCACAAAGGCAATTTTTTTCAATGATTTGTTTTGTTTTAAATATTGCCAGCTTTTCAAAATGTTTTGTTTTCTAGATTTAAGGGAACTTTTTGAAGCTATCTGTAGCTTACAGCAACTTGGTAAAGTTTACTTTTGTGAACAAAAATGAAACACATTTTTCCCTACTGATCCCTTCAAAATTTGAAAACTATTCATAAATATTTTTATTTTTATAGTAATATACTTGTGCAAATAACTACAAATTCAATAAGAATCAGTTCTCCTTATAACAGGATATATTTGGAAACACTTGTTATATTACCAAGGCTTTGACTAGAATGTCATATTTTCAGATATTATGGCAGATTTCAAAAACTAAGATTGGCTTTCTAGAGCCAATAAGGCCCCTTGCAGAAAACCTCGTCTGAGAGTTCTCAGACTTACAGGTAAGTAAAACATGTTAATTTTTGGAATGACTAGTAATCCTGGGGAATTTGAGGACCTTATGAAGACAGGAATTCACCCAAATCTGTGTTATGGTTCCAGCCTGATAGCAGGTTCTTGATTTTGCTTCTTGAGCTTAAAGTCTTTTTTCTGTTTTTACAAGAAAATACTTAGATTAAACTTCAATTCCTTAATAAAAATTCCAGCGAAGCAAACTGAAAAAGAACCTATATGTTCAGATACTAATCTTGCTGCACTTATGTAAATAACCAGGCCAAGTTTAATGAGACCAAACTTATTGTGCAAACAGATTAGCCTTACTTTGATTAGCTTTGATAGAAATTGGGTGGCTGTAGAGAGAAAAAAAATATGTTCTAGAAGAAAACTATAGTGGCCCCAATATTTGCTCTTTGAGGTTTTATTATCTATCTTCATTCTGGACCGGATTCTGAATTCTTATAATTTCTTTCACTATCTGACTATGATTCTCTGAACTAATATCTTCAATTTTCTTTCAACCTTCTGCCCTGGAATCACTAAAATTAAACTGCTTTTTTTCCTGAAGTTTTGCAAGTTGAAGTTAGACAACTAGATGTAAACTTCAGAGAAACCACCACCAGAGCTAATGTGTGGACAATCTTCCTCGTATCCAAACTGCACCCCGGGAAATCCTTCAGATTGCCACTGCCCGTCCTCACTTCAACTGAAGATGCTTAAAACCCAGCATCTGGAAACCTTCTTGACTGCCTGCCCTCTGGACTCAGTAACTGAATTTATAAATTGTTCCAGCTATTAGTCTTTTTTTTCTTTTGTCTATTTTCTTAGAAACTAAACTCCCTTCATTAAAGTCTCATGCAGGAGATCTCCTCTGCTGCCAAGTCCCTACCGATGATTCAGCCGATCCTTAATGAACAAAGGGCAACTGAACAAGAAAGTGGACTTACATTGTTCAGAGAATAAAAAGAATGTATCTTCTTCCTTTGAAGGAGAATGGGGGTTGACTCTTTGCTTGGCCAAAATTTACTCAGGCTCCTGAACCTTCAGCCTATACTGTGCACTTCCTTATAAAATCCAGTTTCATATATATAATCCGGTTATATATATATATAAAATCCAGTTTTACACACACACACACACACATATATATATCCTTGCTGAGTCAGTTTAGCCAAGATCCCTACCCTTGATACCTGATCAGTTTCCTCATCCTCCACCCTCCCCCAGGTGACATCAATCACCTGGCTTGTCTTCAGCAAGAATCCTGTTAGGTGGGTTTAGCCAGAATCCCCCTACCCCTGTTGTTTCCTCCTAGTCATTTTCCATCCACTGACTCCTACCCTGCTCTTCAGCTATAAATTCCCTTTTGCCTGGGCTGTGTTCAGAGTTGAGTCCAATTTCTCTCTCGCTAAAGACTCCACTGCAGTAGTCTTTATACCTTTCATGATCATTTTGAACAAAGTCATTTTTTATTGTGTTTTAACAAGTATCATTGAATAATTTTGTTCTAACAGTACCTTGATTTACACTGAAATCTGGCATATACAAAAGAATAATATACTTACAGGGGAGGTTGACCTGAGACTAAAATAACCTCCCCACCCCCAACCAGGTCTAAGAACGCCGTAGGTTTCTCCAGAACCCTCGTGGGAGTATTAGATAAGTGTCATTTGTCATGCTTGTGTTGCTGTTATTATTCTAAACAGCTCTAGAATCTCAAATTAGAGGCTTTTATACCAGGTCACAGTATCACAGTAAAGATCTTGTAGATTACCATAAGCTGTGAAGTGGTCCAGAGATTCTTGTGCCCAGTTACTAGTTCACAAGCTTTGCTTTATTCACCAGCACAGACAGCCCTGTTGTCTAAGCAGCAGGTTATAAAAGGCACCACTTTATTCTCTCAAATGCTGTACATTTTTCCTATCTCCCCAATTTTATTACTTTTGGTCCCAATTCTCTAAGACAGGTCTTAACATTTCCATTAGAGAGAGTGGGAAAATGAAAACATTGATGTAAAGTCCACAGCTAGGAAGGGTCTGAACTGCGCTTTATATCCAGGTCTGCTTGATCCTAAAGCCAGTGCTCTTTGATGCTGTTCTAAACTCTGCCCTGGGAAGTTCAGAAGTCAGAAGAGGGCCCCTGAAGCAAACACCAGGCAGGAAGGTAGACCTTTGCTCCTTTCTGGGCCTCTGTACTTCCTCCGGGTTCACTGCCAGCTCCACCACCTTTTCCCAGGACAATTCATTTCCTTGGGGTCTTTTTTTTTCCATCTCCACCTGCATTTACTCTTCCCAAGTCTCTCCCTCCCCAGCCACAACAGCACCTTTGAGCTGCCCAGTGCTTGCTCCACCGAACCCAATTTGCTGTACTCAACTGGGACAAAACATCGTTATATGTATGTAAATGCCACCAAGTAAGATGTGGGGTGATGTTTTCCAGAAATGCATCAGTCACAGTCCATTTAGTGCCAAGGAAATTGAGTTTGAAGGCACTGTAATTATCATTATTGCCTTTGGATGGTTCTGTGCTGCTACATGCAAAATCTGTAATTTCCTTGACAATATGGCAGAACATGGTATGGAGCCCTCACTCTTCAAATACTATAACAGGAAAGAAAAAAAAAAGACAAATAGCCAAGCAGGCAGACAAGACTCTTCCTTTACTGCAGCTCTCTCTACCCTTTCTAGATAATGCTCTGCCCTCTGAACAATGTTATGCAGATGGATGGGTGGGGGCTACAGATGGCCACAGAGGAAATAGGCAAATAAACTCTGGTGGCCACCCACCCAAGAGCAATCATGAGGGGTCTGCAGTTTTCATGTGGGTCTTTCGGCACTTCATATAAAATTTGGTCATGTGGGAGTTCAGTTTTTTTCTCCTATAACATGAAAGAAGTCAAACATTACAGAAATCAAAAGCAATGCTATTATGGGTTGGATTATGTCCCCCAAGAAAAGACAAAAATGGTCCGGATGCGGTCGCTCATGCCTGTAATCCCAGCACTTTGGGAGGCCAAGGCGGGTGGATCATGAGGTCAAGAGATCGAGACCATCCTGGTCAACATGGTGAAACCCCATCTCTACTAAAAAAAACAAAAAATTAGCTGGCCATGGTGGTGCTCGCCTGTAGTACCAGCTACTCAGGAGGCTGAGGCAGGAGAATTGCTTGAACTCAGGAGGTGGAGGTTGCGGTGAGCCGAGATCGCGCCATTGCACTCCAGCCTGGGTAACAAGAGCGGAACTCCATCTCCAAAAAAAAAAAGAAAAGACAAAAATGCAGCACCTTGGGAATGTGACTTTATTTGGAAACAGGATTTTTGCAGATAGAGTCAAGTCAAAATGAGGGCTCTTATCCAATATGACTGGTGTCTTGATAAAAGGGAACTTTGAACACAGAGACAGACAGGCACAGAGGGAAGGTGCTGTGAAGAGACACAGGAGAAGACAGCCATGGGAAGACAAAGCAGGTATCAAGGGGATGTTCCGACAAGCTGAGGAAGGCAAAGCTCGCCGGCCACCACCAGCAGCTGGGGCCAGACAGGTTCCACCCGCTGCCAATATCTTGGTGTTGGACTTCTGGCCTCTGGAGCTCAGACAGAATAAATTTCTGTTGCTTAAGACACCCTAACAGTGGTGTTTTTGTTATGGCAGCCAAGGAAGCTTGTGTGAAAATATCACCAAAAAGAGGATGGGTATGAAGAAAAAATGTTAATAAATATATAGGATGCATTTTGGTGATTTGAAAAGGTAGCCATATTTGTCCAGAAAAGCCTTTTCCTGGGCAATTGGTATCACTTAAATGAAAAAAAGAGTGAGTCAGAAAGCTGGAAAACTGTGGGTCCTGGGATGCATGGCACTCTAGTCCCACAGACCAGCCTGCGGCAGCCAAAAGCAGGTCTGTGATCAGAGCCTGGACAGAATCAGCAAAACCTCCCCCAGCAGTAGTGACCACCAGTCTCCAGAAATGCAAATCATCCTTCCTTCTAAGAGGCTTTTTCCATCAGTGGCTAAATAAATTGACATGAAGGATAATTTGGCTTACTTATTTTTAGAAGACTGTCTTCTTTAACCCATCTTCTGAGCCTTCATCTAAATAATCACTCCAAGCTTCCCCCAATGGCACATTTTCCATTGTTTAGCAACACCTGTAATGACTCCCCGTGCCATAGAGAGATGACAACGACCCAGTGGCTGTCTCTACTATGCATCCAACTCACTATAGCTCACTGTCTTTACCGCCCTGGGGGACGAGGTCCCTGGAGACACCCCTCCTGTAGAGTCTCTTTCTGTCTTTGGGAGACAGAGGTGTGTCTTATGCATCACCCAGCTTTGTTTGTAGTTTGGGAAGTCACACAAGAACCTCTGCCCACTGAGATTTAATCAGCAATTTCTTGTTGCTTCTTGTAACTTCACTGAATTGTAACAGAAGCATTAATGTAAGTACAGCTTCCATCTCAACGGTTTTACCAAGGCTTTGCTTGCTCATTTCCTCGTCTCCTAGAGACTTGCTGCATTCCTTGCTGACAAGGGAGCTTTCATGGAAGCTTTGGACTGGAGTATGCATACAGTGCTGTCCTCCAGGTGTCTTTGGAGTCTTCCACAGCACATTCTGCATCCAAAAACACCAGATTCCTGCAAAAAAAAAAACCTCAGTCCAGGGACAGAGCAGAATATTCAAGTCCAAGTAATCAGGATTTCAAGCGTGGTTTGTGTTTTATGGATTCCTTCTTCTGCTCTTCACTCATTAAAATATTTTGTGGCTCCCCAAGGATGAAGAAATACAGAACAGAAATAAAAATATCGAGTCCAGTGACCTGCCTTCAAACTGTTGGGAATTCAGTGCTGCTGCTGGAGACCAAAACATGCCACCCCAAGAACAAATTTGACTAAACAGTTACCCTTTTGCAAGAGAAATGTACATCTGTCTGTAAAATCAATCTCCTTTTGGAAGGGTGTATCCTGCTCTGCACCAGGGAATCACTAGATTGACCCCAATATTACCAGAGAGCCTTAATCAATGAAGAAGCATCCACTTAAATCTGGATTACAAGACTTAGTTTTATTTGAGGTACGTTTCCTGCTCATTTTTATTTTTATTTTATTTTTAGAGATGGAGTTTCGCTCTTATTCCCCAGGCTGGAGTACAATGGCACAATCTTGGCTCAGTGCAATCTCTGCCTCCTGGGTTCAAGTGATTCTCCTGCCTCAGCTTCCTGCGTAGCTGAGATTACAGGTGCCCACCGCCATGTCCAGCTAATTTTTGGGGGATATTTAGTAGCGATGAGGTTTTACCATGATGGCCAGGCTGGTCTCAAACTCCTGACCTCAGGTGATCTGCCTGCCTCAGTCTCCCAATGTGCTGGGAATATAGGAGTGAGCCACCATGCCCGACATCATTTTTATTTTTATTTTTAACAGATGTGGGGGTCTCACTACATTGCCCAGCCTGGCCTCAAATTCCTGGGCTCAACTCATCCTCCTGCCTCAGGCTCCAGTGTCACTTAGATTATAGACATGAGCCACCACACCCAGCTCCGTAATCTCCATTTAATATGTGAGGAAACCGAGGCACAAGCCAGGCAAGACACCTGTTTCGGTTGGACACACACAGCCTGCTGGTGGCTGAGCTCAACACCCTCGTTTGAACCAGGCTGGGTCCTGCATTCACATTTGTCACCCTACATGATGATCTGAAGTACTAAGTCTCTCCAAGAAAGTCCTGAGTTGGGGGTATTGTGTCTTTTTTTTTTTTTTTTTGAGACGGAGTTTCACTCTTGTTACCCAGGCTGGAGTGCAATGGCGCGATCTCGGCTCACCGCAACCTCCACCTCCTGGGTTCAGGCAATTCTCCTGCCTCAGCCTCCTGAGCAGCTGGGATTACAGGCACGTGCCACCATGCTCAGCTAAATTTTTGTATTTATAGTAGAGACGGGGTTTCACCATGTTGACTAGGATGGTCTCAATCTCTTGACCTCATGATCCACCCCCACCTTGACCTCCCAAAGTGCTGGGATTACAGGCGTGAGCCACCGCGCCCGGCCTGGTACTGTGTCTTTTAACATTTGTAGAGCAGCCTCAACATGCTTCACCTGGGACAAGCTAAACTATCCATGGAGAATTCGTTAACATTGTTTCCTTTGTAATGATGATCATTACAGTAACCTTTGAATCACCCAAAAGGGTATTGGATTTCCATTCACAATAATGTTACAATGTATCCCATAAGATGAATGGAGTTACCTCTAAGATTTTTACTGGTGGACTCAAGGGCTGCAAGATACTTACAGGATCCCTCAGAGGGCAACCTATATATCCAACAAAAGGGGATTGATCAAGTGAATACTGGGCTATTTAAGAAGTGGAAGGTTATGTAGCTATTCGGAAGGGCAAGAATGCTTCCTAAATGAACTATGAGAAAAACAACAAGATATGTCATAAAATGGAAGCAGAAGTAAGGAGCAAAATGTGTAGCATATGCTATTTGTATGCTTTTAAAAATGGAAAAGGGGGCGGGGCACAGTGACTCACGCCTGTAATCCCAGCACTTTGGGAAGCTGAAGAGGGCAGAGTGCCTGAGGTCAAGAGTTTGAGACTACCCTGGTCAACATGGAGAAACCCCATCTCTACTAAAAAATACAAAAACTAGCCATGCATGGTGGTGCAAGCCTGTAATCCCAGCTACCTGAGGGGCTGAGGCAGGTGAATCACTTGAACTCAGGAGGTGGAGGTTGCTGTGAGCCAAGATCATGCCACTGCACTCAAGCCTGGGTAACAGAGGGAGACCGTCTCAAAAGGAAAAAGGAGAGAGAGAGTAAACAGTGGCTGCCTCTGGGGGAGAGAAACTGGGTGTCAGGACATGAGGCGAGAGGCTTCACATCTTGGTACTTTTATTAGATTTATGACTATTTAAAGATAAATTGAAGTTATCTTAAAAAATAAAATTGCTTAATAAAAAGGAGAGCCGACAAAAGAAAAAGTAAGCTGGGACTGCAGGTGCGCACAAGGGCACCAGGCTTTGCCCGTTTCTCTTTAGCAGGTCTTTTCTCACATCCTTCTTTCTTTGTTTCAGAGAAGAATGGTATTTAAGCCCGGAGTTTAAACTACCCTTTTGAGATCTACTCTAGAGATTTACTCAACTCTCTGGGTTATTTCTCATGTGTACAGAACATACACTTGTACATACAATTAAATTTCTGTCCATTTTTCTCTTTATAATCTATTTTTTTCTTCCCAGGGGTCTCAGCTAAGCACTCATGAAGACTGGAGGAGAAAATTATTTTTCCTCACCTGCACCATTCGTATGGTTAACAGAAAGCGTTCTTAGAAGATTCCTGCTTAAATAGATGGATTTCTTGATAGAAATTCAGAGAGACATAGAGGTCTTCAAAAAGTATGCTGAATGGGAAGAAAATAAAGTCATCATTATCTAGGAAAACCCAGATGACCTAGAGCTTCTCTGGTGAGACAGGCTCACAGAACAGAGAAGGGATGTCTGTCCTTCCTCTGGGCTCAGCTGGGGAGCATTGCACTCCCCCTCACACATGCCTGTGACTCCTCCACATTCCATATTGCATCACATTGAAAGCCCAGTCTGCTTACCAGCATGCCCTGCTACTAAAGAGATAGTGAATGTCAAATTCTAAAATTCAACTTTTATTCTTACATGATCAATCCTGTTGACAACAAGTAAAGCAGGAAAAACAAATTAGACTTAAAAAAAAAAAATCAATTCTGAGACCGAGTTTCGATTTCAGAGACACAGTTATCATCTTTCAGAGGTGAGTTTGGCTGTTTCTGAGGTGGAGGCTTCTTGCCATGTTTCCTTCCCTTTGGGCTTCTCGCCTTGCCCACTCCTGCCCTGCTTCCCATCCATCCTACCGAATGCTGTGGTCACCAGCTTCCTAACGCCAATATCAGATCCTCTTTGAACACCTTTGGGCTCATTGTCTTGAGTCCCCAGCATGGCACTAAGGCCCTTCATAACTAGCTACTTGTCTAGCTCTTCTGCCTCACCATAGTTAATTAATTCCTCACTAAACCCTGCCCAAAATTATTGGACTAATGTTCCCTGCCTGTGCAGTAAATGACTTAACCTTGCCCAAAGAAAGGTCTGGCTTTTGTCCCCAGCTTCTGGGACACAGTGTGTAGGCCCTTGACATTTCTGGTCTGATAAGGATGTATCTCTTTACCTGGGGCTTTGGCCACTGGACAGCTTAGCAATGTGCTTTGTGATGGGGGCTTTGGGGCATGCTGCATATGCTCCAGTTCTGGAGGGCTGAGGGCTAAAGGTCAGCTGTGTGGGCAGCTGTTCATGAGGTCACAATGAGGGAGGACTCCAGACACCAAGGCTCAGAGGAGCTTCCCTGTGGACAGTAGTCCATGTGCACTGTCACATGTCATGGCTGGAGAACTCAGCACTGTCCAAGACTCTACAGGGAGAAGGTGTCTTCTCCCTGTAGAAGGTGTATTCGTCTGTTCTCACACTGCTAATAAAGACATACCTGAGACTGGGTAATTTCTAAAGGAAAGAGGTTTAATGGACTCACCGTTCCACATGGTTAGAAAGGCCTCACAGTCATGGCAGGAGACAAAGGAGGAAAGGCACGCCTTGCATGATGGCAGGCAAGAGAGAGCCTGTGTAAGGGAGCTCCCCTTTATAAAACCATCAGATCTTGTGAGACTTACTCACTGTCATGAGAATAGCACAGGAAAAACACACCTCATGATTCAATTACCTCCTACCATGTGCCTCCTGAGACTCGTGGGGATTATTGCAATTCAAGATGAGATTTGGGTGGGGACAGAGACTCAAACCATATCACCTAAAAACTGCATTTGGAACCTACCAGACTCTGCCCAGGTGCCTCTTCCCTTGGTTAATTTTACTATGCATCAATTCTTGGTAATAAACTATAACAGCACCTTTCACCGAGTTCTGAAATTGTAGAAACTGAGAATGGTTTTGGAAACCTCCTGAATTTGCAATTGGTGCCAGAAGTGAGAGTGTTGCTGTGGACTGTGTTTCCTCTGAACCCCACACCACCTTACCACACACGAGAGTGGCACCAGGGCTCCATTCCTGGTATTGTTCTCTGTGTCTTTCTCTTCTTTTCTCTCTCCCACCCCTTGCTCGCCTCTTACAATTTCAAGGCAATAGCTCAGCTGGTAGAGTAGAAAGAGCACTGTTCTGGCCAGGGAGTAGATAAATGAGGGGCAGTGTCAGGTCTGAGTCTTAAATGCTTCATAACCTTGCTTTTCTCTTAGATAATTAAAAAAAAAATTGGCCCTGAGCAGTTGATTCTCAGTTGAGTGTCCTGTGTGTCAGTATTCTGGGTGAGGGGCAGAGACCAGCCCAGCTCCTAAAGGACAAGTGGGGACGTGCCCAGTTGACCTTCCTGATTCCACTCGGTTCTTTGAAACTGTGGCTGAATTGACGGATGAAGTGAGGAAGTCCTTCCTCATGAACGCAGAGAATTTAATACTTTGTGTTCGTTCTTGCTCTGTTGTCCTGCTGGAGTGCAGTGTCAAGATCAGAGCTTGTTGCAGCATCAAACTCCTAGACTCAAGCAATCCTCCTGCCTCAGTCTCCCAAGTGGCTGGGACTACAGGCATGCACCACTGTGCCCAGATAACTTTTTGATTTATTGTAGAAATGGGGGTCCCACTACGTTACCCAGGCTGGTCTTGAACACCTGGCCCTAAGTAATCCTTCCACCTCATCCTCTCAAAGTGCTGGGATTACAGGAGTGAGCCATTAGTCTAGGCATGACCACCCCCAAAGTTAATATTTTATTATCTTCTTTTCACATTCCCATTAACTCAAGATTAATTTAGATTTTAAAAAACTCTGCCTCATAATAGGAAATCACTTAATATCCTATTTCCTGCAAGTCAGTTCTGTTTTGTATTTTAAAAGCGTTTCCTAAAGTCTTACAAAAATACAAAAATGACATGACATTTGTCCTTGTTTTCTTGCTCCCTTTTGGCCAGGTCAAACCACCCATTGCTTATCTAATGGGAGATACAGCCTTCACAAATGCTACCTGAAGACCGCTCAGAATGGAGCCAACTCAATGCCCAGGCCAGATAAGCTGAGTTTATGCAGACGCCCAATCCATGGATCAACAGTTCCTTCTTCAACACACCATCCTTCCTCCCAAGAGGAGAAGCCTAGAATCCATATGTTGGCTCCATCAAAATGCAGATACCACCATATGCCACCAAAGATGGCACTGCAGTTGCCCTTGGCCGAGTTCCTGGTGCTTGCTGGTGGTGCATTTTCCAAGCACAGACATTTTCAAATCAACCGCTGAGAAGTTTGATGAGAGGCTATGATGCCAACAGAATATCCAAGTTCCAATCAGGTGTTTGGGGCCAAAACTCAGTCCCTTGCAGCTCCTGTGGCTGAGACCACAAACTGGCTCCATAGGCAGTGCAAGCGCGCTGAGAGCATTTGAACACTCCTCCCTTTCAGAACCTGTGGCAGCCTTTCCATGCCTTGGCATGCAAATGAGTCAATGTTATATTTGGTAATGAGTGCCAGTCCTTTTTTGACAGGTTAATTAATATTCATTATTCAACAGAGAAGAAAATGCTGAGTTGTTTATCACTGGTTCATTAGTTTTAGCCAAATAAAGGATAAACATAATTACTCTCATAAACTACTGTGACAGAGCCTAAAAATTATAGGGCTGAAAATGGATGCCTTCAGGAAAGCCCGAAAAGAAACGAGACCCTTGAGTCTCAGCAGATGAGTGAGAATAATGGTCTGGTGTCTATTGGCATGTGCCAACTCCCTCTCTCACTGGACCTGGGCAAGATCATTTTCCAAAAATGACTCCTCTCTTGCATTTTCTGTTGCCTTTGTCTTCACTGATGATTTCCGTTGTCAGGTGTTGGGGGCTTGTTATTACGGTGTGGTGCATGTGTAGGAGTTAAGCCTTCTGTAGGGGCAAGTTCTCTGACTAAGCAAAAGCTGACATCAGACATCGTGGAGCTTGGCATGGGTGGGTCTCCCTCTGAATTGTAGCTTCCTGACTGGTTTTTATGCTAAAGATTTAGCAGGCTTCTCCTCCTGCCTTCTCCCTCCCAACCTGTCCTATTGTGATTTCAGCTTCAGCCACTCAAGACTTCAGATTCTGCTTCTTATGGACTTGAACTCAATCCTCCCTGTATTCACTGTTTGTGTCCCTCCCAAAGCCATGTGTTTAAACTCTAACCCCCATGTGACTATGTTTGGAGATGCAGCCTATGAAAGGTCATTAAGGTTAAGTGAGTTCATGAGTGTGGAATTAATTCAGTGGAATCAGTGCCCTTAGAAGAAGAGACACTGGAGCTTGGGCACTCTCTGCAGGTACAAAAAGAAGCAGTCACACGAGCATGGAGCAAGCAGGTGGCTGTCTATAGGCCAGGAACAGAGCCCTCACCTCTTTGCTGACACCTGGATCTGAGACTTCCAGCCTCTAAAACTGAGACAATACATTTCTGTTGTTAACTCATTTCCCATTTGCCCCAAGAATACTGCACTGGCAGCAAGCTGCAATTTTTTTTTTTCTAAATGGGAAATGGCATAAGCCACCCAACCCATGGTATTTTGTTGTGGGCAGCCCAAGCAGACTAAGAGATTAACAGACTAGCAGGTTTTCTGAAAACTACGACACACACACACACACCCCTTGTTATTTTCATGTCACTGTTCTGTCATCGTGTTTTTAGGAAGTTTTGATGAGGATGATGGTGATCATGATGGGAATAAAAAGGAAACAGACGTGTTTAGGTCAAGTGTCAGGCACTTATTTTCCCCCCAAAGTGCATGCACTGCATGTTCATTACCTCATGTGGAGAGCCTGGATCCAAGCAGCCATGTTTAGGTAAGAAAGTCAGATTCTGAAAGAATTTCAATGAGCAAAGCTGTCTTTATTTTAATAAAGGGAAAATAAAACTCAAAATCTGTAAACCTCTAGTGATCTTCCCCCTAGTGAATGCGGATGTGGTCAAGTAAGACAAACCTGTGTTTTCACTCCCTAAGGACAGAACACACTTGCATGGCAGTATTTACTATTTATGTTTAGAACAATTGTTTTAAAGAAATAATGTATTTTTCTGCAGATGGAGTTTTCAGAGAGCAGGTACTGAGACTGAGTTTGAGATACTAGATCCCAAAGGAAGGGATAAGAGAGAGCAGAATTGAGCAGAGGAAGGCAGCTTGGCAGAGCACTGACCAGGAACCCTGGAGCAAGTCTCCCAGCAGCAGGTGGCCTCTGCCCCCCTGCCTTGCTCAGCCCTTGGGTGTGGCTGCCCTGGGAAGAGGAGACCTGGAGCAGGGCAGTTCTGCTGCTGGGCATGCCCCTGAAGGAGCTTCAGCCAGGGCCTGTCTGCCAACACATTTTCTACTGCTTGACAGCAAAGCCTTCTCGGAATGGAGCCCAGGCGATGCATCTGTGTGTCCACCCCAAGCCTGGAGCTCCTTTGGGACCCTTGCCTGAGCCTTTGTTTCCAAATATGACCACTACACTAGACCAGGTTTTGATCCTTCTCATCAATGTTTTTATACTTATACTATAAACTCCTGTATCTATACAAATTGCCAAGTCTAGTATGTTTTAGCCATAGAAAAATGCTGTCATTCATTGGCCTAGGCAAAGAATTTATGACTCAGTCCTTAAAAACAAATGAAACAGAAACAAAAATGACAAGTGGGACCTAATGAAGCTAACGAGTTTCTGCACAACAAGAGAAACTGTCAACAGAGTAAATAGACAACCTACAGAAAGGGAGAAAATATTTGCAAACTATGCATCCAACAAAGAACAAATATCCAGAATCCACGAAGCACTTAAACAAATCCATAAGAAGAAAACATATAACCCCATTCAAAAGTGGACAAAGGATATGAACAGACACTTCTTAAAAGAAGATATACAAGTGGCCAAAAAACATGAAAAAATGCTCAACATCACTAATCATCAGAGAGATGCAAATCAAAACTGTGAGATACCGTCTCACACCTGTCAGAGTGGCTACTACTAAAAAGTCACAAAATAGCAGGTGTTGTCAAGGTTGCAGAGAAAAGGCAACGCTAACATACTGTTGGTGGGAATACCTAATTAGTTCAGCCACACTGTGGAAAGCAGTTTGGAGATTTCTCAAGCAACAAATAATAGAGTTACCATTCATCCAACAATCCCATTTCTGGATATATACCCAAAGGAAAACAAATCATTCTACCAAATTGACACCTGCAATTTTAAGTTTATTGCAGCACAATTC